AATATATATTACTAATAAACATCATTTTATTCTTTTTACAAGTATACAAAATGCAAAGAACGCAATAATACTTGATATATAGATCTTAGAATTATTCTCTAATTCGATGAGTTATATAAAATCGCTTTTCGTTTAAAATTGTTTAAAATCTTTGAAAAACTTTGGAAGAAGAAGATTTATAATGTTTAACAAACAAATGATATTGCAAATTTCCATTATTTTTACCTGTTCCTACTGTTGATATTTGTGACGGATCAAAATTAGGAAGATCATTGTAAAGTTTTAAAGTAATTTTATTATATGAACAATAATATGGAGAGTCAAAGCCTCGTTTTTCGGCAGAAGGGCTGTTTCCACTTCCAAGAACCTAATCTGCTATTTCTCACGATCTTTGAAACTTGTATCTTTAAAAGGATTTCCTTTGAAAAGCTATATCGTCAAGAAACAATGAAAAGTAAGTGATTCGTGTTCGCTTTTCAATCAAATTTCGTCACTTGGAAATGGATGAAGCAGACCTAACGCTAATACGAGACTTTGTTTTCAATGAACAGAGTTTTTTTAACAGACATTTTTAATGCTGAAGATCACTTAAAGTTACTCCTCGTCCTCGTCTCCCGCACCAGTTAACATTGCGATAAGGCTTTGCGTATCGATAAATCCCTTGTCGTCAATATACATATTATCATAAGCATCATTGACCTCCTTCGCGGTGAATTTGTCACCATATGTCATCAAAGCGTGCCTCAATCTATGACGGAAGGAAAACGAATAATTTTCATAATTTTAGAAAGCTGCTCAACTTCTTTTCCGAAATATTTCGATATACTTCGCGGGATTTTTTAATTTTCTACTCCTTTCTCTATCCTTTTTTTCCGAGAAATGAATAATCTTACAATACCAATAGGTTTTATCGCTTACCTTTCACCATCAATCTTTCCGTTTACGTCGAAGGTATTGAACGCAGCAATTACGGTTTCATCGTCATCGGAACCTAAAATAGAAGAAATTGCGATTAATTTAATATACATATATAAAGTGACAAAGAGGGACTAATCGTATCATCTGGTAAATTTATATGTTGATACCTGATCCCGACATGCGAGTTGCGAACAAGTTGAGTAACTGGGTAAAGTTGATAGGACCAGGAGCTTCATTTAGCATATCGTCAAGTTCTTTATCGGTAACCAAACGACCGACATTGTCAAAAGTGGCACGAAGGTCGTTCTTTCCAATTACACCATCCTTATCATGATCCATAAGCTGGAATGCCTGGTGGAACAAAATGATATACACATAAGTACATCCAAATAATAATTGCAACTCGTACTCTTCAACGCTTTAATTTTAATTTTATTTATTCGAAAATGATTCGATCGACGTTACGACCAACTTATTAAATAATACGTTTCATTTATCTTTACCATAGAACGATATACAGCGAGATATCTCGTTTCTCTTCGTAGAAATTGCGGTAATTGATGCACCAAGCATTTGATAATGGAGTTTCACTGTATAGTTCGCTGTACGATGGCAAATTTTTGGATAATTACTCGTATATCGTTGGAACGGCATTTGAACGTACCTCTTTAAATTCGGCAACTTGTTTCTGAGTAAACATAGAAAACACGCTGGATCCAGTGCGTTTAGCTTTGCGGCTGCCCCGACTACTTGCTCTAGTCGAACCAGATTCTTTAGGGGTACCGGTAGGAGTTGGTGGCTTTTCTTCTGCTGGTGCAGGTGCTGGTTCTGGTTCCGGTGCAGGAGCAGGCGCTGCCTCCTCCTTCTTTTTCGTCTTCTTCTTCTTCTCTTTATCCGCCTACAATAATCCGACGTAATTTTTATTGAAACGAAACGAGAATATAAAAATATAAAAATTTCAGCCAAACTTCCGCTTACTCTTCCTCGCCGTTTAGCGCCTGTACAAATGTAACTCGCGATTCCTCGAGTGTTGAAATACTCATTTTACCAAAAAATTAAGTATTCTCCAATATTTAATTATTGTAAACGAAATTTCGAGTTTAAAAGCGCTTAGTCTGCGATAAATCGTAGAAAAGTCCTTTTCGTCGTATTATTTTCGTAAAAATGAACGTTTCAATTTATTTAAAATATGAAACAAGGAAAAGAGTGGGTTTGGTAAAATATTTAATATAAATTACTTGCAAAGAACAGAAACCAAGTGATAAATAAATAAATATCTTGCCAATTATTATCTAATAATTAATTGACTGGAAATCACCGTAAAACCGAAAGATATGCGGAAATAAAGAATTATCGTTATTACTATATTTAGCTGGCAGTAAGCTAGCTTGGATAACATCGAAGAAAATTCGGAGGGCGTTACTCATAAGAGTTAAAAATAGGATCCTTCTATCACGTACGATATAGTTGAAAAGAAGCCAGGACAAATATAGACCGTTTATCCCGTACAGCCTCTCGAATTACTATTTGGTTACGTAATTCTTTTATCTTTATTTTTACTTTTATAATATATCTAACAAGTGCACGAAGGTGTACATGGAAATTAAATGAAATTTGATAGTACAGATTTTTGCATAAACAAAATTCAATTAAATCTAAAGTCCATTAATTTAGATACACGATAAAATTGCAATTATTAAGAAATCCAAAAATTAAGAATCCGATTAGGAATTTCATAGATTAGAAGATCGCAAAGATTTATTAAAATCCAAAAGTACATGTAACAACTTGAACACACAGGATGGAAAGCAAATAATAAGGTCCAAGTACGGAATGGCTAACAGCCAAAAATCTAACGAAGATCACTGTTTACACTTCATTAACACAAATACGCGATGTTTGGTGCAAGTTCTGCACTTTGACGAATTCATTCACCAGGCGTACAATTTAGACACAATTTATTTAATTCATCGATCTCTCATCGAAATTTACCCTCGTACAACAGGTCAAACATGTTTCCACCACTAATCACGTGTACGTTATTCGGCATTCCGTTTCTTTCTATATATCCCACTGTATAGAAGAAATTCAACGAACAGAACTTTTCGCATATTTCCTGATCGCCTGAATCCGAAATCACGATGGTATCATGGTGTACTCGGCGCTTACTTACCATGGCTACAGTTGGTTTGTAAGAGGATGGTACGAGATGGTCACAACGAACCAACTGTCCGAATCATAGAAGTGAACTTGTCTAAGTAACTTTGGTGGATCTCCCCCACTACATGGCTGGTGCTTGAGCAGGGGTGCTTTGCCCGGGTATAACGCCAACGCCTATCTGACCATATTTAGTGCGAGCTGCCTCAAAATAGCAACCCTTTCGATGTTTCGACTAAAACAGTTTGCCGAGGATTGTACTGACGACCAACACCTTACAGCCCTTTTTCGCAGCTGAGATTTGCTTCTCAGAACGAGAATGTGAGTCAAGGATCTTCGGAAAGTGATTATGACGGTGTCCCGACCTTGCGCCTTCCGTAACCCTCATTAGCCCTGCATACATCGAGCATCGAAGAAATCTTCTGTCACCATTTTTGCGGTCATCGATCGTACAAAAGCGGTAGTAGACTGTCCTAATTCCACCGTCACAAATCAAAGAAATGATCATAATTGTTTAAACTAATTTAACTCTTATTATCTATTCGATCATTACATACGATACAACGCTTACAAAATATGATTTCTGAAAAATTTGTAACTCGCGAACTAAAAATTGTGGTGTTAATATTTAGAAGTTTTGCTAAATATTTGCAAAATTTGTATGCTCGCAGTTATATTTAACTCATATTATGCGCAATATAATAGCAAATATGTCTATCGTGTATCGGTGATGGTTGTGAAAATTGTAAGATGAAAATTGTCTAAAGAAAAATTACAATAATAAATGAAATACGATAGTAAGAGAAAATGTTTAAGGATTATCCATTTCAGAAGTAACATGAATTTCCGGTTTGTGCACCGGGATGATCAACGCACGTGGTTACTAAAAATAACTGTCCGATATTTGAGATCAGAAAACATTAAGGTATACTGTATATTTCATTATTCCCCTTTCTTATATACATATTACAGAAATTCAAATGGTTAACAAACCCTATATCTTTGATATTTACCGAGTTTAATTTATTTCAATTGTCATGAAACTGAATTGTCATAAAGGAAATTAAGAACAATTGATATCTGCTGTGCAAAAGATTATTTACCACTATCGCACTTTCGATAACAAAGTAGTACGATAGAATTAATGGTTAATTATTTATATGGCTCGACTTAATATTAGAGCCTGGCTTAGGATCGCTATAAGTGTCATATAACGAAGCTCGCTCGCTTCCACCAAATTCAGTATTTAATGAAGTATAGACGCATCACAAGTTAACGAGGAAGATAGCTTAAACCTAAAAATATTATTCAAGTAATCACGTCTATACCAAACTTTATATTTTTATTTTGTAAAGATATCTAAAATCTTTCATTTGTAACGCACCGATAGATGCTGATCAGATACTCCAATATATTCGAGAGGATTGTCAGTAAATATCTAGCAATTTTGAACGACGAGTCAACGTATGATAAAGCATTCTATGAAGACTGATGAACAACCGATACACTGGAAATACAGCTATTACTTAGACACATAGTAGTATTACAAATATGTTCCTAGAATTTATTTCTCTTATTTCAATGTGCCGAATTATGTCATTGAGATTATGTCCATCATTATATTTTGGGACATTCCCAGATACGCATTACTAACACGTACTATAATATAGTACATAATAAAACCCTGCAGATATATTTATTTTATTTTTGGGAAAAAAATTCATATTTATCGCTTTTCTACTGAGTTACACGAATAATAGAATTAAAATTACTTTTCTGTCTCATTTATTTTATACAATAGATACATAAATTTATTAATTAATCATGATTATAATGTAACATGCATATATTGTAATAATCTTTTATGAAGTATCCATACAAATCGCTATGACTTTGTATACTTGCTCGATAAGAAAGTTACGTACCATTTTTCTTATTCACGACCACACAACACTCCCACCACAACCGCTCGGAGAAATAAGAAAGTACAGACAACCTTGCCTTGACTGGTTTTCATTGTAAGGTAACAGCTTGTCGTAGTATGGTCTAGATCACAAATTTTTATGTTAAAATAATATTAAGATTTAAATTAATCTAAAAAAAACGTATTTTAAGTGTTATCTTATGATCTAAGAAAATGTGGTGGATCTTTTTACTAAATTATGGTGAGTGAAACTTGTCCATATAAGAAGGAAATACGTATTTTTAGCATTTAATATTGTTAATCATCGTTAAATCTTTCTTAAAGCTTTAAAAGATGCGTTTAATGCTGTTAAAAAAATATATAAATGATCACAGTAATAGAATAATCGGAAAATAGACTAATTTATCATTAATTGATGTAAATTAATAAATTATTTGCTTATTTCTCTATAGTTACCATTGGCTTGTCACTGCGTCTTGCCGCATATATTTCTTCTGGCGGTCTTCACGGAGAAATTCGATTCGAAAAAGTCACAGAAACATCCGTAAGAATTCGATTTTCACTTCAAACTACTCTTCAGTATCCAGACCAACAATGGCTTTGGTCAGTTACTCAGTTTCCTGTTGATTACACACGTATAAGCGATAGATGCAGTAGACAACATATTGGAGAGAGGTGTTTTTCTTGTTTGGAAAAATTTGTTTCCCATATATCGCTGTCACACGTTTTATTTAAAAATCACTACTATAAACATGTAGCATTATCGACTTAACGGAACTTGTTGGACCGCTCGATATGCCTGGAAATGAAACAGGATCAGTGGAAATTTCGGACATAAGTTTAACCGGAGAAATGGGTTTATGGGGCAAAGGTCTAATATTCCAAGACACATATTCATCCAGAACCATTTGTGCTTCGATAACGGTAACTTTTAAAATATAAAATGTAAAGTTTGTTTCGAAAATATTGCAATTCTTCGAACGTTCTTAGGTACTAGAAAAGAATGTAGAGAAATTTGCGGAAGCACGTTTTCTCGAAACTATAGCGGGAAGCGTATGGTTTCGATGGCTGGGTGGTCACGGTGGTGATAATATTAGCGATACAATAATTTATGTAAATTTGTATCACGTTAATAACAAAAAATTGCAAGGTACAAAATACACAGAACATTATTGGAAAATTTATGTGACAGACATTTTTGACATCAGTAAAGGTACAACTTTTTTTATAAGATATATCGAATTTGCAAAACACTGATTTACTTTCATTAAATATATTTATTTAATGTTTATCATTCAGACAAATCAAGTTGCAACATTTTACAAACTGTCTTTGATCCTGATAACGCGGGCAATGGCAAAGCGATTGGTGATATCGATGCACGTTTAGGCAAGATAAAAGTAGCTGTAGATCATCGTAACGAATATAAAACCGTATACAAAGATTCAAAGTTGTCTCTACTACCGTCTACTGATTTACTCGGACCACATCGTCAATTATATTTAGTCATATTTCATCCGAAACATGATGATTCCATTTTACATTGCAGTAAGATTAATCATAGAAAACCTATCCTTGCCAAGTAAGTGAAACTTATTATTACGAAAAACTTTTATCCATTTTATTTATACATGCTTATCAAATTCTTTTCCCATATTTTTTAACTATTTAGAACTTTAATTAATTCTCATGGTATCAAAGGAGATGTATCCCTATCTCAAGTGACTCCATTCGATCCAACATGGGTTAACGTATCATTGACACCAATCAATGATTTAGGAACGAGATTACGCTATGCTACTAAGATAAAGTCATACAATATTCATGAACTACCTCCAGATCCAATAAAAGCTTCGAATAACTTTGCCAAAGTATGCGAAACAACTAAGAAAATGTATAATCCAAGTAATATCAATATAAAGGATGTACCACCAGCAGGTAAACAAGTTAAATCGTTACTCTAGCCTAGTTTGTTCGTTCAACAATGCCTAAATAATTATGTAACTCAGGGCTTGGAACTCAAGATCAGTATGCTATTGGTGATCTTTCTGGGAAACTTCAAGGTCGTAAAGAAGGATCGTATCATTATGATATCTTGCCAGGGAGTGCCAAACTTAATGGAATTTATTGGGATACATACCTTCCACTCTCAGGAACACATAGTGTAATTCACAGAAGCCTTGTTCTTCACAAGTACTTATTTACGCTCACTTTTTATAATTACCGCTTTATTTTCATCCTTACTTATTAAAAACGATTACACGTTGCTCCTCAGATATAATGAAACTGATAATAAGAGCATCGTACCATGGATCTGCGGTACCTTGAATCTTTATTTACCAGATAATATTGGACAAATACCAATGGTAACTGCACAAGTAATATACAGATATCCCATTGTTGGGAAAATAATTTTCCGTCAACCTAAAAATGACCCTCAAATGGATACTACCATTATAATAGAAAATTTAGTTCATGCAGATGGTAATGCTTTAAATAATTCAGAATTACACAGGTATAATATTTTTCAAATTTTTTGCAAGAAAAAGCCATTATATATATATATGTCAATACCGTCTAATTTAATATTAAATATTTAGATGGATGGTTCATGATAATCCACCAGGCAAAGATTATTATAACTGGACAGGCAGATGTTTAAGCGCTGGTGAACCTTATAATCCTTACAAGGTACAGCAATTAATAAAATAACACTAATATGCTTGTTTTCTATTTATAATACAATTGCTCTCTCCCAAAATATTACTGTCAAATTTACCAGGTAGAATGGAATTCAAATCCTAGTGAATATTGTTCAATGTCAGAAGCATCATTATGTCGTGTGGGTGACCTAACAAGACATAGTACAGTCGATATTGCTGGCAAAAAGCTTTATGGGACCCTATTAACACGAAGACTCTTCACGGATACAATGTTACCTTTGTCAGGTCCCCATAGTATATTAGGTAAAAGTTTAGTGATATATGATGACCATGGACCTCGTGCAAGAGGAGAAAGACTAGCATGTTCAATGTAATTTCATAGAAGAAACTTCATATGAAATATTTCTAATAAATTTTATTACAAACATGACTAAAATATCAATTGTTCTATATAGAATTAGTGAAACATACCATCGCAAAGCAGTAGCAAGAGACTGGTTTGGAAATGGAGAAATAATTTCGCTAAGAGGAAAATTAGAATTCTTACAACAAAATGAATATGATATCACAAATATAGAACTAAATCTTGATGGTCTAGATGGGAAAATGAGTGGATATCACATACATATGGTAACAGAAATATAATAAAATTTGTTTATATTTTTTATTTATTTTCATGAAATTTTACGTATTTTAGACTCCAATTGAGCAAGATTTAGAATTTCCATGTGAAAGTACATCCCTGTATGGACATTGGAATCCATTTGGTATCAATGTAAGTAACACGCTATCTGCAGGAGAAGGAACAACTGATCAGTATGAAATGGGTGATCTCAGTGGAAAGTTTGGCACTTTAGAAAATAGAAAAAGATATATGAAAACTTTCAATGATACAATACTTCCTTTATTTGGACTAAACAGTATACTAGGTCGAAGTATAGTGATTCACAAAAAACAAAAGAATTTAAGGTATCTATATTAATATTTAAATTGTATGCAGACACAAATATATATATATATATATATATATATATATATCTTCTTTAACAATTCTTTTCTTTGAGATGGGCTTGTTCAACTATAGAAAGGGGATATTCGCCATCTGAGGCTATAGAATTAAGAGCAATTGCATCTTTTCATCATCCACAAGGTTTTGCATATGGCTATATAAGAATGGTATTATAAATTTAAATGATATCAAAATATAAAATATGATTTAACACTAATAATTACAGACACAACTTATTCACCATGATGGTAGTCAAAGCGAAACGGTAATTGAAATAAAATTACGACATCCTGGAAAACACGATCGTAATATTGTGAGTACATAAAATGCTTAATAAAAGCATTCAAAGAGATTTAATATATTTTAAATTATATAAAAATATATTACTGTAGACAAGAAACCACAATTGGGCGATATATGTAAATCCTGTTGGAGTAGATGCAGCTGTTCAAGTAAAGGATACTAGATGTGTAGCTGGTGGATATATATGGAATCCTTACTTTACACAGCTAGCAGATCCTTTAAATGTAATATTAATCAGAACCATATAAAGTTTCTGTCTTAACATGCCATTGTTTACTTTCATAAAAGTAATTTTATTTCACAGGATGATCTGTACAGACAAGAATGTGGTCCTGATTTACCACTTAGATGTTATGTAGGAGATATATCAGGTCGATTGGGTCCTATCGATATAGGACTTCAAAGACAAGTTTTTACAGACTCAAATTTCCCATTAGCAGGAACAGTATCTGCAATGGGAAGATCTATCGTTATTTTCGACAAAAATTTTGGGACTGACAGATTTGCATGTGCTAATATTGAACCTGATAACGACATTGTGAAGTATACAAATATAAGAAAACCACCTCGCTTTGTAGTGTAAGTATACATGCAACATGCTATTTTATCATAAATTTCACGTACAAATGTCTTTACAACTTTTTTACTGTAGGGCACAATTTCTAGAAGATGTAAGAAAAATTATGGGTGTTCCAGATTGGATGTTATCCATAGATACTAGAAAAACGAAGATTTTACATAGTGGTGCATGCATTCAGTTTTTAATGCATTTTATGGGTAATCAAAAAAATATACAATTTGTAGGAATTTCTTGAATATATATAATAATGTTTTATAATTACATATCTAGGTCCAATTGCTAGCACCTTAGAACAAGACTTTAATAGACTTATATCAACTGGACGATTAGACGCACCTAGTTTGTATATTCCAGGATATGTTCCAACAAAACGAAAAGCAACATTAGGTTATCGCCAATGTGGAAATCAAGATCCAAATGATAAAAGTAATAACTCATATTCTATACAAAATAAGCATACAAGTTTATTTTTTAAAATGACAAATTTTACACTGTTTTTAGGATCCAAATTTTCCCTACCAAATATATCTTCATCACAGTATTCAAAACTTATTTTAATTGTTGCTGTGTGTATTATTACTAAATTATTATGATATTAAATTAATAAATTACTATAGTATTAAATTGAGTCTTATAAATTTAAACACCGAAAAGATTGTATATATATAATAAATATTTTATAAAATGAATAATTTATTTACACGATATGCTAACTTTATGAGGAAATACGTAAACTTGAGTCTGCGATGGATATAGAGCACGTCATAGTCATGTCTTATTGGTAGCTTTACATGTAGCGATCGCTGGAAACTGTCTGTCCAACGTATGGTCGTACATGTAACCGCGGTTCAACGAGACGAGGCAGTAGATACTCGACTAGTGACACTCGATTATCACTAGTCCGCAGCCAATAGTTGCAAACGCAGCAATCAAATTTCGCTTACATTTACTGCCTCGTCTCTCGTTTTATTGGATCATGGACATAGGAATATAGGGACGACGGACAAAAGGGAAATTTCCTCCCTGCTACGGACCGTGACGCCAGCGAACAATAACTGGCGCGAGGGACGCGGATGGAACCATTTCCGGGGAATAGAGAACGTTGCAGTAGGGGCCGCATTGGTGATTGATTTACAATTGTCTAAAAATATTTATATTGCACCACGGATAACACTGAACAAGTATAGAGTTTATAATACTCTGCATTTGTTAACATTATATAAAATTATCATAACCACAACATGTATTCTCTGGAAGATGGTAAGAATTTATACTGATGTTAATATGTAAAAATATCGAAATTATCAATATTTGTATTATTTATTCAAAAATATGATATCATTATACCTAAACTAAATTTTATTTTTTACCTCTTTATAGGAAACTGCATTATTTTTCTCATTTCGTAATTTATGTGCTTCAATGTTATATAAATTACAAAATTATTAATCTTAATAACTGCTGAAAATTATGACTAAATATATCTTTTTTTTAGATCAATACGATGATGAAGATGCAGAAGAAATTTCGTCAAAACTTTGGCAAGAAGCCTGTTGGATTGTTATTAATGCCTATTTTGATGAAAAAGGCCTTGTGAGACAACAACTTGACAGCTTTGATGAATTTATTGAAATGTCAGTTCAAAGAATTGTTGAAGACTCACCACAAATTGATTTACAAGCAGAAGCACAACATACTTCGGGCGAAATAGAAAATCCAGTTAGACACTTATTGAAGTTTGAACAAATTTATTTGTCTAAGCCTACACATTGGGAAAAAGATGGAGCTCCATCTCCTATGATGCCTAATGAAGCAAGACTAAGAAATTTGACATATTCTGCACCACTGTATGTAGATATAACTAAAACAATTGTAAAAGATGGAGAAGATCCTATTGAAACTCAACATCAAAAGACATTTATAGGAAAGATTCCAATTATGTTAAGATCAAAATATTGTTTACTTGCTGGCTTATCTGATCGTGATTTAACAGAATTGAATGAATGTCCATTAGATCCTGGAGGCTATTTTATTATTAATGGTTCAGAGAAAGTACTGATTGCACAAGAAAAAATGGCAACAAACACAGTTTATGTCTTTAGTATGAAAGACGGTAAATATGCATATAAATCAGAAATTCGATCTTGTTTGGAACATAGTTCACGTCCTACATCTACATTGTGGATTAATATGATGGCAAAGAGTGGAGCTAGTATTAAAAAATCTGCTATAGGTCAACGTATTATTGCAATTATCCCATACATTAAACAAGAAATTCCTATTATGATTGTATTTCGTGCACTTGGATTTGTAGCTGATCGCGATATTTTAGAACATATCATATATGATTTTGATGATCCTGAAATGATGGAAATGGTAAAACCTTCCTTAGATGAGGCATTTGTAATACAAGAACAAAACGTGGCTCTAAATTTTATTGGTACTAGAGGTGCAAGACCTGGAGTAACTAAAGAAAAGCGTATCAAATATGCTAGAGAAATTTTGCAAAAGGAAATGCTTCCACATGTCGGCATAAGTGATTTTTGTGAAACCAAAAAGGCTTACTTTCTCGGATACATGGTGCACCGTTTATTATCAGCCTCTTTAGGTCGAAGAGAATTAGACGATCGAGATCATTATGGTAATAAAAGATTAGACCTAGCTGGTCCATTATTGGCATTCTTATTTAGAGGACTATTTAAAAATTTAATGAAAGAAGTGCGATTGTATGCACAGAAGTTCATAGATAGGGGAAAAGATTTTAACCTTGAACTTGCCATAAAAACTAAAATTATTACTGATGGCTTGAGATATTCACTTGCTACAGGAAATTGGGGAGATCAAAAAAAGGCTCATCAAGCTAGAGCTGGTGTATCGCAAGTATTGAACAGGTTAACATTTGCATCAACACTATCACATTTAAGAAGAGTGAATTCTCCAATTGGAAGAGATGGAAAATTGGCCAAGCCGCGTCAATTACATAATACATTATGGGGTATGTTATGTCCTGCAGAAACCCCTGAAGGTGCTGCAGTTGGTCTAGTAAAAAATTTGGCATTGATGGCTTACATTAGCGTTGGATCTCAACCTTCACCAATTCTTGAATTCTTAGAGGAATGGTCTATGGAAAATTTAGAAGAAATTGCACCAAGTGCAATAGCTGATGCAACAAAAATATTCGTAAATGGTTGTTGGGTTGGTATTCACAGAGACCCAGATCAGTTAATGGCTACTTTACGTAAATTAAGAAGACAAATGGACATTATTGTATCAGAAGTATCTATGATAAGAGATATTAGAGATCGTGAAATCAGAATATATACAGATGCAGGAAGAATCAGTAGGCCTTTATTAATTGTTGAAGGACAAACCTTATTATTAAAGAAAAGACATATTGACATGTTAAAAGAAAGAGATTACAATAATGATGGCTGGCAAGAATTAGTTGGTAGCGGAGTTGTTGAATATATTGATACTTTAGAAGAGGAAACTGTTATGATTGCAATGTCCCCTGAAGATTTGAGACAAGAAAAGGAATATGCATATTGTACAACATATACACATTGTGAAATTCATCCAGCAATGATTCTGGGAGTGTGTGCCTCTATTATTCCATTCCCTGATCACAATCAAAGTCCAAGAAATACTTATCAAAGTGCTATGGGTAAACAAGCTATGGGAGTATATATTACAAACTTTCATGTTCGAATGGATACTTTGGCACATGTACTATATTATCCTCATAAACCTTTAGTGACTACCAGATCTATGGAATACCTTAGGTTTCGTGAACTTCCAGCTGGAATTAACAGTATAGTTGCTATATTATGTTATACTGGTTATAATCAAGAAGACAGTGTCATTTTAAATGCTAGTGCTGTTGAGAGAGGTTTCTTTAGATCTGTATTCTATAGATCCTATAAGGATTCAGAATCCAAGAGAATTGGTGATCAAGAAGAGCAATTTGAAAAACCTACACGCCAAACTTGTCAAGGGATGCGTAATGCTATTTATGATAAATTAGATGATGATGGAATTATTGCTCCTGGAATTCGCGTATCAGGAGATGATGTAGTTATAGGTAAAACTATTACTCTTCCAGAAGCAGATGATGAGGTATGTAATCATATAGGAATTATAATAATCAAATTTAGTTATATCTCTTCATATCCTTTTAATATTTACAGTTGGATAGTACAACAAAACGTTTTACAAAACGAGATGCATCAACCTTTTTACGTAATAGTGAAACTGGGATAGTAGATCAAGTAATGTTAACTTTGAACAGTGAAGGATATAAATTTTGTAAAATACGCGTACGCAGCGTTCGTATTCCACAAATTGGTGATAAATTTGCTTCTCGGCATGGACAAAAAGGTACCTGTGGAATTCAATACAGACAAGAGGATATGCCATTTTCATGTGAAGGTCTCACGCCAGACATTATAATTAATCCTCATGCTATCCCATCGCGTATGACTATTGGTCACTTAATTGAGTGTATACAGGGGAAGGTGTCTGCTAATAAAGGTATTTATTTGCTTTTATTCTTATCAACATAAGTATTATATAAAATGAATAGTATATTTAATAAATTAATTCCAATATATTTTTTTGTAGGTGAAATTGGCGATGCTACTCCATTTAACGACGCTGTAAATGTACAAAAAATTTCTACACTTTTACAAGAATATGGTTATCAACTGAGAGGAAATGAAGTCATGTATAATGGTCATACCGGCCGCAAGATAAATGCTCAAGTCTTTTTAGGGCCAACTTATTATCAACGTTTAAAACATATGGTGGATGATAAAATTCATAGTAGAGCTCGGGGACCTGTACAAATTTTAGTTAGACAGCCTATGGAAGGAAGAGCAAGGTAAATTATACATACTTCTTTTGTTCTTCATATTTATTTATTCATATTAATATTCATATGTTGATATGTAATGTTCAGAGATGGAGGTTTACGATTTGGTGAAATGGAACGTGATTGTCAAATTTCCCATGGAGCTGCACAATTTCTAAGAGAACGTTTATTCGAAGTATCAGATCCATATCGGATACATATATGTAACTTTTGTGGTTTAATCGCAATAGCCAATTTGAGGAATAATACATTTGAATGCAAAGGATGTAAAAACAAAACACAAATTTCTCAAATTAGGCTACCATATGCGGCGAAATTACTTTTCCAAGAACTTATGGCTATGAATATTGCTCCCCGATTAATGGTTGCATAAATATTGACATACCTAATGTTTCCATGGTATTAGACAATAGGAGTGTGCGAAATCTCAAAATACCACTTCGGAATGGGTCGGGGAAATTCAGGCTGACTCGGGCAAATCGACAATTTGAAATCGAATCGGATTGGCAGTAAACAGACGTTTCTGTCTTCGCTTAATAGTTTGATCATCAATTCTCGAACTGATCATACCTGAATTTTTCTAACCCATCCTGAAGTTTTAGTTGCCGAATCTTGCACACCCCTATTAGCCATACACTTTAACATTATAATCAAGGTATAATAATATACGACATACTTAATTTCAAACTATTTCTAATAAATATCAAACGTATCTTTTACTGTCAGTAATTTTATATACTTTACTAGAATATATAGGATTATGTAATTATTGATTTCCTAATATAATATTATGTTTAAGGTATCAATATGTTAATAAAAACTTTAGTAAGTAAAATTAATATTCCTTATATCACATATCACAATGAATCGTAAAAGATATGATTTAGCCATTATATTGTTTTACTGCTTACTTTTTCTGCCCATTTACTCCAATATAGTTATATTATTGTTGTTATTATTATTATTATTATTATTATTATTATTATTATTATTATTATTACTACTACTACTATTAATATTATTAGTATTATTATTACTATTAATATTATTATTATTATTATTACTATTACTATTATTATTATTATTATTATTATTCCTTGCTGTTACTAGGTAAAATATCTTATGTAACGAAGATAACTTTAAAAATATAATCATGTATTAAAATATTAGTTTTATATTTAAATTGACTGTATAAGACATACATCTAAAATACAAAATCGTGCTCTGCATACTGGACAAGTACATTTAGAAGATAACCATGTTTCAGGTGCATTTTCATCTTGTCTTGATGCAAACCTATAATAAATATTTTTAATAATATACCTACATTAAATAAATGTATATATCACATACTAACCATTTTGCCATACATTCTATGCACCACATTGGACGACAGTAACATACCATGCAGTCTTCAGGATTTCCACTTCCTATACCACTACTACATTGTTTATGTAATTTTACATTTGATAAAGCTTGCATACATCCTATACATTGACTTAATTCCTTCAAACATTTTTATATTATAATTAGATTTTATTTATTGAAATAAAATATTAAATTTGTGAAAAAGTAAATAAAATACCTCTGCATATCCATAATGTGGATTTTCTTGTACATGTTCTTTAAAATTATCAATGAATTTATCAAGTAAAGTTTTATGAAATTTAATGTTTTGTAATATAGTGATGGGACGAGAGACTTTGTCTTGCAGATTTTTAAAATCAAATACATTTAATCGTATGTCAAAAGGCTGTGATCCTGTTCTAGTAGGTTTTACCTACACATCAATGGAATTTCAATTAATGAGAGGTAAAGTCCTAATAAAAAATCAAAAATTCCTAGGGTAAAGACTAATTTAGAATAACAAAATATACCTCAATATTAATAAACTGAACTTCTCCTCTTGTCACAGGTGACATTTCATGAGTGTCACTTCTGTTAACTATTAAAGCTGTATCACTCTGATGGGCAACCATTACTGTATAAGGTAGAACTTTAATTATCCAATTATCAGTAGCTATTACACATGTTATACTATTTGTAGTAAGTATTATCTTATCTATTCTAAAATAAAATATTAATGATTGAATTATCTTCAGGAGTAATATATTACAAGAATAATCTTCTCAGTTTAATATATAACCTTTGATATTCTACATTAATATCAGAAGCTACTGTAGTCCATGGTATACTGTTATTATTGTTATTGCTGTTACAGTAAACTGCAAGATTTTTCGCTATAGGATGCTTGCTCCAATTATTCATCGACCATATTAAAATTTTAGATAAAGTATATAGTGGTATCAATATAGAACAAGTAACATAAATTGACCATAAATTGACATGACTTAATAATACATTGACAGCGTCTATGTGTCCAAACAGAATTAAACCAAACGCATAACCTAATTAAAAGAAAAACTTATTTTAACAAGCAGTACAACATTTAGAATAAGAGAAAAATAAGTATATTTACCAAACGGGAGCATAGAATATATAAGTAACGTAATGACACTTTTTCTTATGTGATATTGCACAAAAAATTCATTTTCACTGCCTAACAAATTCGAAAATATATCTTTTATGGTTAGGCCGGCTGACACAAATTCTGTAGGTGGATATATGATACATCCTGACATTAAAATATAAAACAAAGTATAAAACAAAAAGGCAGACATTTTTTACAAAATATGTTTCCAATTGTATATTTTCACCTTTTTGCTTGATGTTTACAGACTTTTACATATATATATATATTTGATATTTAATGATTAAATACTTTACTTCATCAACAATATTTAAAGAGCAATTACAGGTTAGATTCAACTATTATGACGAATCCTTATGAAAATTGTTATTTTTCAAAACAACTTAAATCTTTATTACTGTGTGTAACATTACTGTGATATTTTACACATCTACCTTATAATTTACATCTCAAAAGTGATCTTTTAAAGCTGTATTATAACAAATAAAACAAAAATAATTCTTTCTTAAAATATATACGTAATATGTGAAAATCAGCCTATAATTAATTCTAGATACAGATATGCATGTATATAGTCAATAGTTTATGACTATGACAATTCGTAAGTTGTCTTTTATTGTTATGGGAAGTGTGTACAAATATCCGTAAGCTTGTTCTCTTATAATTATGTTTACAGTTATCAAATAATCATAATATATGGCGTATAACATTAAAACAATATGATAAATAAAATTCCTTTCATAGTCGTAAGTATTTAACGTTTATATATAAATTCATTGTTTATACTTACATGAAATTATTCTATTATTTATTCTCATTCTTATATTAAAATATTGTAAATTATGAATGAAAGTTATATGTTTAGTTTTACAAGAATTTTGCTTGAAATTTTAAATTCTGTTCAAATATATAATAATTGTATCAATGTTTTATATATTTTCAATGTTTATACTTAAAATATTTGCTTTTATAAAAAATTTGTAAACGTTAATTTGTTAAGTTACTAATTTCGATTTTCTTATTAATTAAAATTGATATTCTTTAGGTAAAAATCTGCCTTTTTTAAAATGAGAGCTATTTTATTGTTTTTAATTTTAATTCAAACAAGAGGAGAAACAATCCAGACATGTCCAAAGTATTGCACATGTAAACTTGGTGCACAAGCAGAATGGCTACGAATTAAATGTAGTAATGAATTGCAGAACATTAGGGATATCAATCTTGATAGTGTCAGCGTGGAATTAGTTCAATTGTAAGATTATAATACTAATTGTACTATTATGAATTATTCTATAGCACACAGAGTAATACTTATTTTTAGTTGTAATATTTTTAATTACTTAATATATTTCAGAGATTTGAGCAAGAATGATATTTATGCTATTGAAGCTAACATATTTAAGAATTTGACAAATTTGAAACGTTTGAACTTATCGCAAAATGATATAACTTTTATTGGTGAAAATTCTTTTGATGGTCTTGGAAATTTAGAGAGATTGTAAGAATATTAATATATTTGTTATTATTATGAATCATACATTAGTTATTATTGAATATATTAATGCTACAAATATATTCAATTTTTATTCAGGGATTTAAGTAAAAATCAAATTTCAACTATAGATGCTCATACATTTAGCAAGTTGCCAAATTTGAAAAGGCTGTAAGTTTACAGATTTTGTAAAATATATTGATGTATATTTTTATGTATATTCTTTTATCTTACATATTATTTACTTGATTATTAGTGATTTGTCCGGCAACAACATAAGTGTGGTGAAACCATCATTATTTCATAATTTACTGGCTTTAGAGCGCTTGTAAGTGAGTCTCTAGTTTCAATTTTTATTTACTTTCTTTATATTTGTTTTACCGGTTATGTGTGTGCGTGCGTACATGTGTGCACATATATACGTATAATTATACTCATGAGTATTTAAAAAAAAAAAACACTGATCTATAAAAATATATTATAGGAAGTTAAACGAAAATAAATTAACAACTTTAATGGAGGGTACTTTTTATGGTCTGAAATCTTTAAAACAGTTGTAAGTAAGTTAAATATAATATATGAATTCATATAAATTGAATAAAGTTACTCAAATTTTAATTTATATTTCAGAGATTTATCTAACAATCCATGGAGATGTGACTGTGAATTATACTGGTTTAGTAATTGGATTCATAACAGTTCTATTAAATTAAAGTAACATATCTTTTAAATACAAAAATAGAGATTTAGTAATTATATAGGGTATAATGTGTATCATAGTGTAATAAGCTTTTGAAATATTTCAGTCCTGCCCCAAAATGTGTATCACCTATAAATATCAAAGGTGAATTTGTGAAAAAATTGAAGTATTCAGAAAATATTCAATGTCAGTGGTTACCTCCCACAATTGAACTTCGGCCAGTTAATAATCAAGTAGTATTTGCTGGAGATTCTATAACTTTAAAATGCAGAGCACCTAGTATAACAGAAGATAGAAATGCAAGACTAAGTTGGTTGTGGTATCCTAATACTACTTCTGAAACTGTAGATTTAAATACATTTCTAGATCCACAAAAAAGTTTATCTAATATTAAAGTGGATAACAGATATCTTGCAGATAGTGGTATTGTGGACAGGTATTTTAGCATTTAATACATGTAGCGTAAATCAAAGCATTTATATATATGCATAATAAAATTATAATTTTTATAGTTCTCTTAGTATTGTTCCTGTTAAAGAAGAACACAATGGCCAATGGAATTGTTTGTTAGTTTCTGTAAATGGTAATAGAACAAAAGCAATCAGTGTAATAGTTATCTCTGAAGAAACTCGTTATTGTCCTCTAGCAGGTAAAATAAAATGTATACTTCAAATTTTAATATAAGTCTAATAAATTATTATGTTACAGTAACTAAAAATAATAAAGGTATTTATACATGGCCAAAAACTATAGTAGGATGGAGGGCAGAATTACCATGCGAAGGCAACCACTTATCAGGTTTAATGCAAATGCCTTTAAAAGCTTCTTATCAATGCAATATTACAGGATATTGGGAGAATTTAAACACAGAATTATGTCCTTACATATCACATATAACAAAAAGTTTAGAACAATTTTCTAAAGTTAATCTTTCACTTACAAGGATCAGTTTATTAGAAAGTGCGAAGAAATTCAAAAATTATACAGGAAATACCATAAAAATAACCGATCCTATTGAAGTTGATTTCATAACTCAAACTATAGAAAATTACTTAAATTTTGTAACTGAAGAAAAAGAACTTGGTTCTATGTTAATTGATGTCATTAGTACTCTGATCAATGTACCAAAGAATATTTTAAAAAAAGCTGAAATTTCCTTTAAATCTTGCACGCGACTAATAAAAGCTGTAGAAAAGATTATACAATTTACTCCATCTATACAATTTTACAAGAAAAACATGGCACTAGAAGAATTCAGAGTGAAACGTGATAGTTTTACAGGATTAATATGTACATGGTATTCCAATAATAATCCAGAAATACGATTTTTACAATGTACAACAAACAATAGAACATCCCCGATTAATATAAAAGATAAAATAATTGAAGCATCAATACACCTACCTGCATCTTTATTACAATATTCACAAGAAGTTACTGCTCATCAATTAATGATTTCTGTATATAGCAATAGTAGATTGTTTCCTAAAATAATTAACAATGATAATATGGATATTCCATCATGTGTTATTGGAAGCAAGTTATGTATGTAATTAAAACTAACATCAAAAATGCTTATTTAAAACGTAAAAATAATATAATAATATGAATCTTTTTTCAGATGGAATGTCAATACAAAATTTAACTGAGCCTGTATACATTATGCTAAAGGCACCTTTATACTACTATGCCGGAAAAAAATTATTACCCGTAGTTTGGGATGAAACATTAAATAAATCAGGAGGCTGGACAAATGATGGTTGCTATTTAAGAAATGTATTAAACAACTTAATAGTATTTCATTGCAATAGATTGGGATATTATGGCCTTTTACAAGATACTTCTACATTTGATTACAATGGTAACAGGTACGTATTTAATAAATTTTTATATTTATGAATTAATTTGTAATACTTCTATTTTCAGCATAAGTGGCGCCAAATTTAGGTATTCAAATCCAGCAATATATATTGGAAGTATTGCAACAGTAACATGTTTAGTTATTATGTCTGTTACATACATTATCTGTTACACATCAATTGCTATGCCTAAAAAAGCAAAACATTGTGTTATTAATACTTGGTTTGCTATGGCATTATTATCATTTTTTTATAGTATTGGTATTTACCAAACAGAAAATATACCAATTTGTCAAGGTGTTGGTCTTATTCTACATTACTTGTCTTTATGTTGTTTATTATGGATGGCAGTATTTGCAAGGTATATAATTAATCTTTACATTTTATAAAAACTATACAATGAACAAATATTAAAAGGTTAATTTGTTTACAGCAATATGTATAAAAAATTATCTAAACCAAATCTCGAAGATATTCCGGATAATGAACTTCAAGATCCACCAATACCGAAACCATTATTAGGGCTGTATCTAGTTGGCTGGGGTATAGCTATGATCATTTGTGGTATATCTGGCGCAATAAATTTACGAGAATACGCTGGATATTCATATTGTTTTCTCACAACTGCTCCTGCTCTTGTTGCATTGTTTGTTCCAGCTGGATTTCTAATTGTATATTTATCTATTTTTCATTTACTCATTAAATGTTCAATTCAAAATGTTGATATGAATGCTCAGTTGTCTGAAGGTACACAAGCAACGGAAAATATGGATTTAGAATTATTGGAACCAAATACAAATCTTTCTGTAGGCAGGAATAGTGCACGCAGTGCACAGACTGTTTTATCCGATATTGACGACTCAGAACATTCTCAAATAACTCAACTAAAGGGTCAAATTATTATTTTAATTTTATATTTAATATCATGGATTACTGCAGCAGCAGCTATAACAAAGCCATTAAGTGCATACATTTCGTTTGATGAAACTATATTTGCTACTTTATATTCCCTTTTTTCTAGTTCACTTGGAATTTTCATCCTCTTTTTTTATGGAATTGCACGAAATGATGTTAGGTCACAATGGTTAAAAATGGGTTGTTGGTTTCAAAAACGAAAAAATCAATGTTGTCGAACAAGAAGTATCTCTGATGCAAATCCTGTAATAGCAACGCAATCATTAGTACAAAATTTGGTACCTCCAATGTCTAATTCTCAGGCTACTCAAGTTACATCTGATTCAAATTCCATTGGTTCATCCAGATACACCAATAGGTCGCAAACTTATAATGCGTTTAAAGTTACAGATATTATAACCAGTCAAGAAGTTTCACCTGTTGGTAGAAAAATGACCAATGTGAACTTAGTTGTATTACATCGACAGCAATACAGATCTGATAATTCCGTAACAACATATATTGAACCAACTTGTGTTGAAATGTTTTATAATCCTCATCAAAGTGGAGTTGCTAGAAAATTTTTTAGAAAACAACGTCGTCATACAAAAAATAATAATCTTGGTCCTCGAAAACAAGGTGATGGTGGTGCTATGAGTGATGCTGGTAGTTGCATTTCTGTACCACGATCTACTACAAAATTAGATAGTAATATAGACCAAACCATCTTAAGTAGCAGTGCAAAAGTAAATAATACAAATATCCATGTTGAGTTAAATCCAATAAATGACATTAAAAACGTTAATATACTCTCAGATAGCGGTGGTAGTATCTCAGAGGAAAGAAATGTTCCAGTGCGATTTGTTATTGGTCAAGAAGGTCTTTTTGGAAATGTAAGAAAAGTTAATAATAACTGTAGATTACACGATTCCTTAAACACAGTATCAAACTCTGCGAGGAATAATTGCCAAAAAGTAGAATTACTGAGTATAACTTTACATGACTCAGACATGGACATCAAAACTGATGAAGAAAAACATCTGCAAAGTGTTTCACAACAATGTAGTTTAGAATATAGCTCGGAAATAGAATCTATTACTCAGATGACTAGTGAAAAAAGCGACCATAATTTACCAGAAGTTTATGAAACTGTAGATAACATTATGAACCCAAAATGGTTAAAAAAAGACTGTCAAAGTATGAATGAATTTCATGGAGTAGAAGAACGGCGGTCTAATGCCACTTCAAAATGGTTAACTCATTCTAATAGCATGCACTGTCTTCCAATAGAAACTGTGAAACCATTAAGGAATAATTTTTGTAATTCATTAAACGACATCACATCCCTTACCAGTTTAAAAAAATGCGAATATCTGAAATCATTTACAGGCTTACAAAATATTACAAATTCAAATTTATGTGATAAAAGTCGCCTATCTCAAAAATCATTTAACAAATTAGAATCACCTTTCCCTAAAGTAAATAGTGCAGTTAAAGATAATTTACATAAATTAATGCAGACTACATATATTACTCCTACAAGAAATACTGAATGTGCCTCTAATGTGTGCACTGATGAATTGAGATCTAAACAAAAATTAATCAGTTCTATGATTGATATGACATCACTTATGCACAGTTCTTGTAATATTGTAAAAAATTTAGATTCAAACAATGAAGTAGAGAGCTTAAACAGACAACAAAATATACAGAATATTGAAACTAGTAAAGCACACTTAAATAATCCGAATACTTATCTACAAATAGTAAAAAAAGAAACAAGTGTTTAATCTAGTTTTGCTTATATAAAACACGTAACATATTTATATCATATAGGAATCTCGTCTAACAGAGTAAAATAATTTTTTGCTAATATTTACATTTTTATAATATTTGAAGAAATACTTATCTTACTCTGCTTTATTAATTTATCTACAAAACATAGTTCCTATACATAAAAATGTTTTACAAAAATGTTTCATCTGTTTCTACATCTCTACTAATCTTTTTACTTCTTTTAAATGTCGAATATCTTTCATTCATTTTTATTCGTGTGTATATATATATATATATATATATATATACATACACATATATATATATGAAACATTCATTAAATTGTTTGTTGGATATGTATTTATTCAGAGAAAATTGTACATAATTAATACAAACAACTCGATATTTTTGTGAATTTTAAAATACTCTTCCTTTTTTTGCTTTGTAAATATATTGTTCTATAAAAAGAGTGATCAAGAATTACATAACTGAAATCATTACATCTATTGAAATCTGCTTCCATCATATATCATTTAGATTTAAAGAATATTTTATATTTAATTTAATTGAATTTCCACCAATGATTTTTTGTACAATAAATTTTTGTTATTATTTTCATGATTACATATGTAATTTATAATATATACTCTAAGACTGAATATTTTACTAAATAAATTTGAGAACACATCAAATTTGTCATCATTTGTCTTTTTATACATCTAAAATAATTTGAGAATATCCATATTATTATATTTAAGGTATACAATGTTTAAAATAATATTAAAAGATATAATACGTGCACATATGAGCACCTAGACTGTATAGAGTTATAATGTATAAGAATATTACTTTCATATAAAGTATATTAAAATAATAGGTACAATTTTTATACATAATTTAGTTTATACAGTATTTAATTCATTAAATATAAAGTTTATACATGTAACTCTTTTCTTATACTTGAAAATATATTTAAATGGTTTAAAAATATGGCCTTATTCTATATTTTAATTTGCATTTTTTTCATTAACATTCCACTTGTACAGAATTGTACAAAATACTTGTAAACAAAATAGGAAAAAGGTAATTAATTGTATCATTCAAAATTACTGCTACAAATTACAGCTTTAAGTTAAGAGATGATAGTTTCATTAAAGGATATTATTTATATTAGTTCAACCATTCCTTAGGGTTTCTCAATACATCAACAAGTTCTGCTTCTTTTGAACCAGGTTTTGGTTCATGCATATATTGCCAATTTGCAGACAAAGGCAAAGACATTAATATACTTTCATATCTTGCACCAGGTGTATATAAACCAAATTTTGTACCACGATCGTATATTAAGTTAAATTCAACATATCTTCCTCTACGTAATAATTGCCATTGTCTTTCACTATATCCATATCCATCATCTTTATGTTTGTCAACTAATGGAATGTAAGAAGGAATAACAGCTTCTGCACAAGATTTTACGAATTGAAATGCTTCTTCTTGGCTAGGAGTATCAATGTCATCAAAAAAGATACCACCTACTCCTCTACGTTCTCCTCTATGTGTGATAAAAAAATAATCATCACACCATTTTTTGTATTTTGAATAATATGAAGGATCATATTGATCACATGCAGCTTTTAAAGTACTATGAAAATGTTTTATATCATCCTCATTTAAGTAATAAGGTGTAAGATCTGTGCCACCTCCAAACCACCACTGAATTGAACCATCTGAATCTTCTACTTCAAAGTAACGATAGTTGAAATGTATTGTTGGAACCATGGGATTTCGAGGATGAATTACAGCACTTACACCAGCTGCAAAGAATGGTACAGATCCCTCTCCCATTTTTTTTCCACGTGCTCTCATTTGTTGTACTGCACCTGGTGGTAACATACCAGTAACGACAGATACATTTACTCCAGCTTTTTCAAAAACAACTCCATCTTGCAAAACACAAGTAATTCCTCCACCACCTTCCTTCCTAACCCATCTGTCAACTTTAAAAGAATGGCCTGGTTCTTCTAAGGATTCTAAAGCTTTACAAAAGTCTGCTTGAGTTTTCATCACTAACAATTCCATTTTTGTTTTCATATCATCTTTCTTCTTTAATTTCTTTATGTCAGTAATAGGTTGTGCCATAAATTTTTTAATATCCAACTCATTTTGTGCTGCGAATATTGTGATTCCTGAAGTACTATAAACCAAAACACTTGTGAATATACCAAAACCAATGTACTTGATGTTTTTGGCCTTATATTGGATTGTATAATGTTTATGAAAAAAATGACGTAAAGAAATCCAATTTTTTATTAATGTTCGTGGAATCATAGTTATCTGTAATTAGTGAATTAGAGTATTTTTAATTGCATGTTAACAAAGTAGCAATTGAGAAAGTTAAGTTATGCTTTTTATTGAAGAATATATCATTCAGAAAATATTAAAATAAACTGTGCAAATTTTACAATATATTAAATAAAAGAATTTATTTTCGGTTTTATTTTAAACAAATTTGACATTACTATAAATGATGGATATTGATTATCGGATTTTGATTATTTATTATTAATCATAAATGAAGTAAAAGATTAAATCATAAAGTATTATAAAATAGTGTAATAATATCATTACTTACAGTTTTTCAGGCTTGAGGAATAACAAATGTGTCTCTTATCGAATTACAGAACAGCAAATATATAATTATGTTATGTGAAAACGGGAAATAAATTATTTTTTTAATAATATTATAAATGTTGATAATAGCGTAATTATCTATACAGCAAGGTGTCTTAAAGTAATTTTCAAACCTAATAAACATTTATAAATAGCATATGCATCAAAAAAGAGAAATGTGTATCATAGGTTAACTACCAACATAGGGATATATTGGCGTATACTTGATGCACATATGTATTTTATAATTAATATTATTTTACTTTTAAAATGTGGTTCAAGAAACAATTTAGTCGATTTCTTAAATATCCTCAGTTTTATACAAAGACTTTGGTATGTTATTATTTTTGTTTACATATGTATATAATGTATTTTGTTTACATATGTATATAATGTATAAAAGTATTTGGTTTATTTTTCTTTTCATATATTATTTTATATATTTCATATATTATATTATATTATATAATTAACATATATATTCTTTACAGTATAGGACACAGTCAACACAATATAATGTAGACGCAATAACACATATTCCAGAACCCGAATATAATATTGATTTTCTATGTGATTCATGTAATCGAGATATTATTTTTAATAATATAGCAGCAAGGAAAAGTATTGGAGATATTGATAAAATTCTTGAACTTTCAAAAAATCCGGAGTTAAAGAAGGCTCTTTTGCATGAGTTAAATAAAATACCAAATCAAACAGATCCAAGAGTATTATCTTATGGCGAAGAACCACAAATTTTAAAAGAATGCGGGCATAATCCAGAATTTGATTTTGAACCACAAGAATTTTCAACATTAGTTACAAATTTAAAGGCATTAAAAAGTAAACAATTGGGGCCCTTAATAGGAACACGAGGTTACTTGTTCTTAGGAGATCTAGCAGAATTAGAAGAAGCATTAATTCATTTTACAGTCAGGAAGTTAATGAAACATGGCTTTAAACTTGTTTCTGTACCTGATATTATCCCTACTGAAGTTATAGAAAGATGTGGATTGATAATAGATAATGGAAGACAGCTTGTATATAATTTAAGTCCTTTTTATGGAGGGAACTATAGTTTATCTGGAACAGCAGAAATGTCCTTAGCTTATAAAGTAATGAATACTATATTTAGTTCAGAAGATTTACCACTAAAAATGGCTGCTGTAAGCAGGTGTTTTAGGGCTGAAATATCTAATCTTATGCATGAGAGAAGTATATACAGGTAAAAAATCATGTTACATATATTTTTAAATATATTTTATTAATATGATAATATATCTAACAACTGTTTCAATATTAATAGTATAACAATTACATAAATATTATTTCTAATAAATAATTTTATCTACTCATATAAGGGTTCATCAATTTACAAAAGTTGAAATGTTTGTATGTTCAAAACATGAAGAGTCAGAAAATCAGTTTCAAGAACTTCTGAATATTCAAGAAGATTTATTTTCTTCATTAAATTTATATTTTCGAATAATTGATATGCCAGCTCATGATTTAGGGTCTCCAGCATATAGGTATACAGTAGTATAATATTACATTATATATTGAAATACTTAGATTTTAAATTTCTTAATGTCACATCATCAATTTATATATTTAGGAAAGTAGATATGGAAGGATGGATGCCTGGAAGAAAATTATATGGAGAATTATCTAGTTGTAGTAATTGTACAGATTATCAGTCACGACGACTTGGTATAAAATATAAGACAAATAAGGGAGAAGTTTTACATGTTCATACTTTGAATGGAACTGCATGTGCTATACCTCGCATGTTGATAGCACTTTGTGAAACACTTCAAACAAAACATATGCGTATTCGAATCCCTGAAATTTTAATACCTTATATGGCAGGAAAGACACTTATTAAAAAACAACCAATTGCTAACATGAAACTCCATAAATACAAATCACAAATCTAATATGTACCTGTAATTGTACATGTAACATTTAATCTTCTCTGAAAACAGTTAAAAACAAGTAATAATTACATCTTTATTGTTTTTGCCATTCATGAATGTAAAAGTATATATGTGTAGGAATATTTACTTGCAATCTACATTAAAATAAATTATCTATTTATCAATGTATATAGAATTTTATTGTGCATTAACCTAAATGCAATGAATAATAATAATTTATATAATTCTTATATTTATAATATACAAAAATAAAATTTTTAAAGAAATAAAAAATGAATTCCAATTATATATATTAAGAAATTACTTGTTTCTAGTTAATTGCTTTTATTTATATAAATTAATTAATATTATAGGAAATTAAACAGGATTCATAAAAAATTCAAATATTAAACACCACCTGACAATATATTTTCTAGAAACTAGTACAATATTATCATACAAAGAATGTGGGTTTGAAAATTATACATACACAGGGATAAAGATCTTTTCTTCATTAACTTGTTATTCTGTATATATTTTGCAGCGGTGTTATAAAAATGTAACACAAAATATTTTTTCTTAAAGTAATACAATTTAAAGACACTGTAAATTTTACAATTTATCTTCCTCGTTAATCAGATGGTAATGTATTGTTTTTTATTCATTAACGATTAAAAAACTGTATGTATTTGTATATTGATATAGTGTATCGCAGAATGATACAAACTTTATTTTATCAAAATTTCCATTTGTCAATACAGTCCAATTGCAGTTCATATTTTGATCCATTCCAAAAATTTTGGATGTAATCCAAATATATTATTTTTTGATAATGAAGCTTATATTATTCTGAAATATAAAAATAATATAAAGTCAAAAACAAAGCTGTAAACCTTGATTAAACATACTTCTGTATTTTTAATCTTCTTCTTCTCCTGATTCAGATTCTTCTTCAGCATTCTGTAACCATTCAACGAATTTTTTCATTTGATCTAAGAACATCATTTTTCCTTTAACAGAATGGCCTTCCTTATACCACTTCAAAATCACTTCTTCTGATATTACATCCGCTAAAATAAAATATGTTAAACAGAAAATGGACACAAACAAAGAAATTACTAATAAATGTATGTGTCAGCATTATAAACGTACTTTTATAAAATAGTAAAACAATTTTCTGGAAGACTTTCATGAAGTTCATATTCTCATAACAAAATTCCTGAACCTTCAGAAGAAGTGCAAGCTCAGATCTGGCAGTGGTTGTAAAAACATCAAACAGTGGAGTATATATTTTTAAGTGCTTCAGTGCTTGATCAGCCACTAATTCTTCTTTTTTATTCCATTCAGCTTGACCCATTACTACAACCCAAATCTGCAAACATTGTTAACAATTTTATTTAATTCTAATGTAATATAATAATATCATAAAACTATAATTACCAGGCCAATAACTTCATGCTCAGGAATACCACTCTTCTGTGCCATTTCTTTGAGATCAAGTATAATATCTTTCAAAGGACGATTATCAGCCAAATCATCCAATAACAGTTGTTGCAAGTCCCGTTTTGCTTCTTGACTTGCTTGAGCTTTATGTAATTTTACAATGTCTGCAAGACCAACAGCTTCAAATACAGATCGAAAATATTCTTCAGTTCGTTTATTAGGCGGTACAAATTCCATTAACCTGTTGATCAGTATGTAAAAAAAAAAAAAGAAAAAAGAAAAAGTAATGAGAATAAAACAAAAAACCTGATATAGATATAACAATGAACTTTATAAAGTTTGGAATTTTCTCATACCTTCCTTCAATATTTCCTTTTTTCAAAGCAGTCATTAAACTGGATAGACCTTTCTCCTGCCTCCAAGTGACAAAAACTTCTAATAAAAAGTCTAATGCTAAGTTGTCTTTAACCAGATGTTCATTAATTAAAACTGATAAAACAGTAGGTGGAACAGAACCATTGGATATCCACAGAGCCGTCATTCTAGCTAATTTTATCCTTTCTTTAGGAGTGAAGCCTTTCATAAAAACCAATACCTTTTTCATTTCTTCCTCAAACATTTTTTCCAAGTATTTATAACGTCTCATAAGTTTGATGAAAACCTATAAATAAAGTTATTTTCAAAGCCATTGTTAAAGTACATATCATGACAGCTTAAATATACATAGAACAGTATACGTCACTTGTTCAAAATTTCGCATAGATTCCATATCTTCTGGTTGTTCAAAAACACAAGCAGTGGTTTTTACTGGTTTATCACCATCTTGAGCAATAGAACCGCCTGGAACTAAAAGTCCACCAGCTATTAAGATGTCAAAAAGGTCCTCTCCATATCTGCGGTAATCTAATTTAGAGCCAGCTGCGTCCAAGTACTTTGAAATTGCATCTAAGTCGTTACCAGCCTTTTCCAAACCAAGTAAAATCGCATCTCGAAATCCCATAGGGTCATATTTTTCTTTTTCATCTAAAAAAATTCTTCATTATAATTTTCATTAAATATACTACCTAAGAAATCTCATATTTTCTGATGCATACCTCTTTTTCTGGTCTTTATGCGTTGACCTGATAATATTGGTTTTTCTATTTTTTGACTCATACAATACCTTTCTGAAATGGTAGAAATTTCAATAAATATGCTTTAAAATTTTTCGACTTTTTCTTAAATTAACGATAATATATTTATAACATATACATATAAGTATATAATATGTACCTATATATGCATATACATATATAGAATTGTTTGCCTTATGTTGTGTATTACTATTGACAAATTTTGAAAATCTTTTGACCTTTTATTTGTATATTAAGACAAAAATTTAATAAGATTGAGGATTGAGAGACTATAATGAGACCATAATGAGGTGGCATTTGACTTTAAATCTGTTGGCACTTCTTTGACAAATGGCGACTTTCATTAAATATATTCTATTACGTCAAAAATTCCTACTTATAAATTACTTTATTATAAAGATTAATAGCATTAAAATATACGTAAAAAATTCTACTTTTCAATTAGTTTATTACTCCTAAGGTTAAGGTCATGGGATGGAACCACGATGGCTGAAATTTATAAAAAAATTGAACCTTTTACAGAGATCAGGTTATATGAAAAGCGAACGAATATTGTTTAAATTTTAATGACTTTTACTTCTTAACTTACTTAGATGCACGTACAACTGTAGAACTACCCCTTTTCAGGCGTATGAGGACAATACGAAATATCTCAAAGAGGATTTTGAGTACTTGAGATCAGCGAAACCGAAGAGAATCAACTTGAAGAGAAGCCACAATTGACAGGGAAAAGATAGGATACTCGAATTTACATTTCGTAATGCGTTTTTAACGCCATCTAAACTGTTCAAAATATAATACTGAAAATAGAATTTGTAACGACATCTAGTAAGAAAGAATATATAACAACATCTATTTTAAGAAATAATATATTTATTAAAGAAAGCGATATAATATTTGGATATATGTATATATGTACAGAGGTGAGTAGATCTGATACGTGGATATATACCATTTCTCTAACATTCGTCCTGATATATAGAGTAAAACAGAGCATGGTCGTATTAGGTCTTATATATATATATATATATATATATATATATATATATATATATATATATATATATATATATATATATATATATATATATATATATATATATATATATATATATATATATATATATATATATATATATATATATATATATATATATATATATATATATATATATATATATATATATATATATATATATATATATATATATATATATATATATATATATATATATATATATATATATATATATATATATATATATATATATATATATATATATATATATATATATATATATATATATATATATATATATATATATATATATATATATATATATATATATATATATATATATATATATATATATATATATATATATATATATATATATATATATATATATATATATATATATATATATATATATATATATATATATATATATATATATATATATATATATATATATATATATAAGACCTAATACGACCATGCTCTGTTTTACTCTATATATCAGGACGAATGTTAGAGAAATGGTATATATCCACGTATCAGATCTACTCACCTCTGTACATATATACATATATCCAAATATTATATCGCTTTCTTTAATAAATATATTATTTCTTAAAATAGATGTTGTTATATATTCTTTCTTACTAGATGTCGTTACAAATTCTATTTTCAGTATTATATTTTGAACAGTTTAGATGGCGTTAAAAACGCATTACGAAATGTAAATTCGAGTATCCTATCTTTTCCCTGTCAATTGTGGCTTCTCTTCAAGTTGATTCTCTTCGGTTTCGCTGATCTCAAGTACTCAAAATCCTCTTTGAGATATTTCGTATTGTCCTCATACGCCTGAAAAGGGGTAGTTCTACAGTTGTACGTGCATCTAAGTAAGTTAAGAAGTAAAAGTCATTAAAATTTAAACAATATTCGTTCGCTTTTCATATAACCTGATCTCTGTAAAAGGTTCAATTTTTTTATAAATTTCAGCCATCGTGGTTCCATCCCATGACCTTAACCTTAGGAGTAATAAACTAATTGAAAAGTAGAATTTTTTACGTATATTTTAATGCTATTAATCTTTATAATAAAGTAATTTATAAGTAGGAATTTTTGACGTAATAGAATATATTTAATGAAAGTCGCCATTTGTCAAAGTCCTGATCTGACATTCTTGTAATAGGGGTAAGCCTAGATATGAGGACAGAAAGTCTCCTATATTGTTCACTACAAGGCGCTGATATCAAGTAGTAAAAACAATCTCAAAGTAACACTAGGTAACAAATGGTGAAAGCACATAGGTGAGATTTTTATAATTTTATGATACTTTATAAGTAAACTTCGTAACTAATTTTTTAAGTAAATTTTGAATATAATTTTATAGTAATCTTTCAATATATTGTGATCCTGTGCTGTATCGAATTGTAAATGGAATAAATATAAACATAGACAATAAGTGTTCAAATAGCGATTTATAATAATAGATAATTTTATGAGCGACTATATTTGTAAAAATTTGCCGATACCACTACAGTCAATTCTGGTTATAGTTGTACGTTTGCGACAACATATACGTCTGTATTGGTTGTCGTTTATTTTCTGTTTATAAACGGGGATCAAGCTTAGAAGCCTGATGCATAGTTGACAGTCTTTTGAGAATCTAAACTGAACTTAGAACAGGACAAAAAGAATGAAAGTGATAGAGACACTGAGAGTCGAAACGAGATAAGTTGAGCCTTTCTTAACTCAAAAATCAAACTTTCTTATCTTTGATTTGTGATGAATGAAATTTTTACTAACGTGTTCGTTACATTTTCTTAATTGAAATTACACCAAATACGATACGATTTGGAGCATATTTGCTTACTTTATAAATGATAATTAAATACATATCAATAAGTAAATCTAATTCAAATTATATCGTGTTTGTTCTCATTTTATTTAGAAAGATCTCACAAATATATTAGCAAAATATTAATTTAGAAAAAGTGAAAAGTGAAAAGGTTTCACTTTTGAATTAGTATCCGCATACATAGACTGTCGTCCCGTCGATCGTAATCGAAGAGGGATGAGATGGCGCGGCGTACAATCCCCGATTGTAGTCGGGGTGAAGACTATTGCACCCGGTTGTCAGTACACAACGAAGCATGAATAGGATAGGCAGGATATGGATCCAATGCTAATTGCCTCCGTAGGGAGAAGTCAAGCGGATCGCCGAGGATTTTACTCGAGAAGCTATGGCATTATTATTATTACAAATCACGGGCGAGTTTTACTTGGCTTCACGAGTCGATTGGGTCAATATGTATCCCAATCCTCCATAGATTAGAATTCAGAGAATTAATAAGTTTTACTCAATAATAAAAATAAAATGGATAAAAATCGTGGATTACAAAAATTACATAGTCATGACATCAAATCTTGTTTGTAGTTAGTTTATACCTCTTTTTTATCATCTTTATGAATGAACACACATGCAAAACAAATACATCACTCAGAAATATTACTCGCAACCTAACAACTACTGAAATTACTATTGAAGTGAAATTCAGGTTTTATAATAAAAATATTATCACGAGGAAAGTGAATTTAATGTTAAACCTAGAAAGCTGTGTATAGAGAATATATTAAAATTATTGCATCATTCCACTGATCCATTATCGTTTGAAAGTAAAGATTTCCTTCTCTTTTCTAAAAAGAAATATAATAAACAATTAATTTTACTTTCTACGGCAGCTAAGTTTAATTATTGTAAGATTTTGTTATTCTCATACTTTCTACCTCGGAAAGAAAAGTATGAACTTTTCCATAGAATCGTACAATGAAATAGGCTCTACTTGTGACTGGACTAAATACATTCTTGTATGCTAGCGTGGAACCAAATAGATTTCTAACTTTATAGGTTCTTGCATATGCTAGCGTGGAACACCTTTGGCATTTGATCGCATGGTGCAGCACTTGCACTGTGGAACAACTAGGACAATGGGCATGAGCAATCTTATTTGTTCTCTGACCTTAAATGTGTTAAGTGAGATCTGTGCAAATGTATGGTGCCATTATTGCTGTAACTATTCTGGCATTCTTAAAAATTATCAACTGTTTTCTGATTTGTTAGCTTTTCACTGATTTAGGAGCTGTTTAAGCGTCGAGGCGAGGGGCACTTAGTGAAAGTAATAGACAAAAAAATGTTCATTTAGCTCATCTATTAGTTGGTATAAGGTCCTGTAGTTGAGGTTACAACTTCGAAGTAGTTACGTATTTATTTTTACAAAATTTTATGAGTATACAGAAATTTTGAGGTATAATAAAACAACTACTTGTATTTCTTAATCTATTAAGTACTCACTTAAATGCTTATGGACTATTGATAGAGTATATTTGAATATAGACTTTATTACATATGTGATGTAGTTACTTATCATTTACTACAACTGCTTTCTACTTTTTATAGTTACTCTTTTACTTTTATATCCATCAGCATTTATAAAATTAATATCTTAAATGATTATTTAATATTTTAAACATTGTTTTTTATATAACAGAGTATGTTAAAATCATTTATTTACCTGATATTTACTACAATCTGCAGGTGCAGTGACATTATTAAAACACATATTCACAGTTATTATTAAGCACTTCATAATTTTGATGAGTGTGCGCCTTTTCTTGGTATATCACTGAATGGCTTCAATAATGGATACAAACACTGACTAATTTTAAATGATATGATATCATCAATTTTTTTTGGTTCAATATTATTTGTTCCGTCTGATGAAATGTATTCATTAGATTCCATTACATTTTCATCTTCTAATTTTACATCTTTTAGTGTAGAAAGTACATGTACTGATAATTTACGTTGAATGTCATTTTGAAATATTTCCTACAAATAAAAAACGTTTAAATTCAATATACTTGTATTAGTGTTAGTCTAAGTGATGCAGTCATTATATGCATACTTTATAAAACTTTAGTATTTGTTCCTGTGTTATAGTTTTTAAATATGCAACTTCAATATTTGCTCTATCGAAATTATATTGTTGTGATATAATTTCACTCCAAAATATGGCAGATAAAGTAGTCATTTGTTTAGGTTTTTCAAGTCGTCGTATTGCTAGTGATTCTTTATGTGCATTAAATTCTTCTTTTGTCATAGATGGTATATATTGCTGAAATAAATTAACTTTAAATGCAAATTTTGAAAACAAATATATCTAGTAATATTTAAATTCTAATTACTAACCAACATAGAATTTAAAAACGCGTTAATTCTTTGTTCAACATATTTAGGATGTCTGTCACTTTGAACTATAATTCTTAAACCTTGTGCACCATTTGTTCTTCGAACTCCACTAAACACTATATATCCCAATTGTTCTTTAGTTCTTAACGTAGTAAAACAAGGTTCTGATAAAATCTGTGCTAAAAGTTCTAGAAGCATATTTGATTCTGTTGATTGTAAACCAGTTTGATAATAAACTTGCGTACATGAATTACTATGAAATTTAGTTTTTACTTCAAATAAAAATTGACAACCTAGAAAATATATATAGGAAAAATATTAATTCTTCTTTCCTTTTTTCTACAAATATTATTTAAAAACTTTTAATATAAAAAGTTAAATGTACTTACCATCTTCTAGTTTGATTTCACGATGTAAAATTAACTGCCTAGATAGAAGTGGTACTATATGAGGAACTGCATTTGATAATTTTGATTCTATTGACTTTGCAGTTTCAATAGCTTCTGACATTGTTATGTTACCATGTATTAAACATTCCATATGTATTTTGTTTAAAAATTGTGGGATGAAATTTTGTACTCTTTCAACTGTTAAATCTACATACAAATGAAATTATACGAACATAATTATATTAAATATAATTAATAAATTATAAAATTTATAATGGATATTTCTTATCTATTTCTTTATCAACCAAATGTTTAATTTTTTTGCATAGACTTACGAGACGTAGCATTTAGTAATTCATCCTTCATCCAAATTTGCTCTGATAATAAAACAGCAAGATAATAAACTGCATGCTGATATGGCTGTTCAGCTTTATAATTTTTCAGGCTTCTAATATACTAGAATTAAGATGAAAATTAATAATAACATAGTAGTATACATAAAAATTTAAGTAACACATACATTTTCTTTCCAAATTTCAAATCTTTTTGGATCAACTTTAAAATTGATCATTTTATCAATAATTTTATTCAGTAACACTTGTTGTTTATCATCGTAGCCAACAATTCCCAGCTAAAAAATATATACTGTATAATATTAAAAATGAAATTTATATATATTATGTACTTATAATAGTTTTTACTTACTGTCATTCCATATTTACTATTAGTGAGCTCCCATTTAAGACCAACAATGTCGGCGGCATATGCATATTCATTTAGAGCATCACGAAATAATAATACAAATATATATGTTAAATTACAACTAAGAGGATCCATGTATGCCAGTGGACTGTAAGCAAAATGTAATCATATTTAAGTATAACGACATCTTTAATATAAATATGAATTAAGTAGACAACACAGTTTACTTTACCTGACGAAATCGATAAATAAATTAGCTCTGGGTATAAGAAATTCATCATCTTGTTTAAACCATAATCTTATTAGTGGAGTGTCTTCAATAATTACTGGAAATTTGGATATCTAGAGAGAAAAAAAATGAAATTGTTTTGTCATAGTATGCATACATACATATATGTACTTAAATATAGAAATGTTTACACAAATGTTTACTCACAGTACTTTCTGCTGGTTTTATATCAAATTTTTCTGGTATGAACTCATTCTTTGGTGGCAATTGTAAATCCGAATTTAAACCAGCATTAATCCATTTACTTATTATATTTTGTGGTATCTTTTCTTTTTTAAATTTAACACCATACCATTTTTCAGTTTCGTCAGCTATATCTTCATATAACTTTGCAACTACATGAATTCTAACATTTTCTGGTTTCAAATATTCCATTACCCATGTGATTAAATCTGGTTTCCACAACGGAAAAAGATGTTCCGCTATTAAGATTTCTTCCATTGGATAATCATATAATATTTGTGCTATACCACTGACATAATCACAAGGATAACCTTTTTCCTTGAATCGAAAATTTATATTTGCGATGTCTCTATATTCCTTCAGAACAAAACAGCTATTTTATTAAATTTATTAAATATTTATATATTCATGATTAACACTTCACCAACAGAATACATAGTGTTTTTTTTATTAGCAAATACTTTATGTTGTTTATTATCTCTTTATATCAGTAACTTTATGGCTATTGTTTTCACAAATTTACAAATATATATTTTAAAATATAAAATTCATAATTAACATTGTAACTCGTGTATGTAATTGGATGTTCCTGCTGCAAACTAAGGTATAAGTACGTTAGCTTCTCCGACGGCGAAGTGTTAATATTTAAATCTGTATTACATAATAATTGATTTATGAATAATTACATTGTAAATCCACTCAACTGGTCCATGTTTGTTTAGCATGTTAATATATTGGAACGTTAAGAGGACAATATCATCAACATGTTGAATGCCTTCTTCTGTTAAATCAACAAAAACAGCAAAGAAGCTAAAACCTCTAGCACCTAATCGTTTACCTGAACCAAGCGAATTGCACCATCCTTTTGCTTTCAATAAAGATAAAAGTGATCCTTCCCCTTCATGTCCTAATAGATGTGAAATATAATGTGCAGGCTAAAAAAATTTTAAAAAGTGGATGTATTTTTATTATACGATTAAGAACAATAAATTAATATATTAAGAAATAATATAAATATAGTTATTACCGCTGATTTATAATGTTCTCGCAAGTCAGGTATAGGAAATATAATATACAAATTTCTAATGTCTTTTATTGGAACAACATACCACCTGTTTTGAAAATGTTGCTTTGAATTAAAAGGATGTTCCGGCCAAGTAGGTACTGTAATATCTTTATTTTTCACTTGAGAAAATAACTCTACTACCATTTGTTCAAGTTCATCTAAACTCTCTAAATATAGAACAGAATTTATAAGAATAGTTCTTATTTTATAAAAAGAGCATAAATAGATAATAATTTTATTCTATATTAAATATGTTTTAGTGGAGTAAATAATAAATAAAATATTTTACTTACCTTTACCAAATACAGATAATGCCATAATGTTAGAGGAATAAAATTTGTTATGAAATTCAAGTAATTTTTCCCGTACATTTATTCCTTTCTGCTTTGGGATTATATCTAAAGTTTCCTTATTCCCAGTAGCAAATTTTGAGAAAGGATGACTTGGATCAGCTGATGATCTATCTAATTGATCAAGGCGCCATGTATCATTTGCTAAATTTTTTTTACATTCCATATGGATAGCATTTAATTCTAACTCAGTTAAAGCTTCTGTAAAGAGTGGTGCAATAAAAAATTGTGCAAAACGATCTAATGCACCTTTTAATTTTTCTGCATGTACATCAAAATAATAAAGTGTATGATCCATATAAGTTGATGCATTATAAGTACCACCATTTTGTGATAAATATTTATTATAATCATTTTTTTCTGGATATTTTTCTGTTCCCAGAAATAACATATGTTCACAAAAATGTGCTAAGCCTGGTAAATCATCTGGTTCACTTAAATAACCTATAAAGATAAATAATATAAAATTAAATATAGCTTAAAACTATAAAGGTAGTAATTACATTATACTCAAAAAATAATAGTATAACTATATATCTGATTTTACCAATATTCACATTCAAAGCAGCGGCACTTTTATCTGTTGTGGGATCACTAATGAGTAAAACTCTCATTTTATTAGAAAGCAAAAGACCTCTATATTCCCTTTTATCATTTGGTGATTTAGTTATGTTATCGTATCGCTTTTCTATAAGATTATGATGAACCATGTTGGATTTAGATACTTTTATACTAGACGATTTACACCTACAAATAAAGAAAATATTAAACATAATACAAACCAACTTTTAGTATTACCTGATCATAAATAACAATTAAGCAAAAATGAAATTTTTTTACATTAAACAGATAAGTTGAACATTTATTCCTCCCTTTTTTAATTTGATTTAAAGACAAAGGATGTCAATATATGAACAAATTTTTGTTTGGTAATATTAAACCATATATTAGATTTTATCACTTTTAAATAATGATAACATTATAAAATGTAACATAATGTCAAGATTTTTGTAAAAAAAAGAGTAACTGTTACATAATTTACTGCTGATATAAAAATGTGTAGTGATTTTACTTACAATTTTGTTTTATAATCTTGTTTTACAATTTTTCTTAATAATATCTAACTCTTTTCAATACTCAAATTCTATAATCCTGTTTTACCCTCAATTAATTAAAAAACAATTTTTTTAATAATCGGGTTATTATATGCATTCCAATGCTATATAATTTTTTAATGATCGATAATATAATGTAAATATTTCATATAAATAAGAATAATATATAAAAAGATAAAATGCACTGTTAGGTTAGAATAAGAGTCGAACAATGTAATACAGAATTATACACTTCACAAGATTAATTTCTTTACATCAAAAATGAAGTCTAATATTTTAAAATGCATTACATGTGATTAAGATAACTATGATAATATATATATATATATATATACTTTGAATTTATTGAATAATAACTAATAGATATATTCTTTCCATTGTTTTACAAATTGGTAAATTTCATTCGGATATACTATGACCGAATTATATATCTATGTAATGTTTCATCAAGAATGTATGCATACCTGTAAACAAAGAAAGAGTGGGTTGGTACGTAAAAAATACGAGATTTGAACATATGTGTTAAAACCATTCTTATTAAATTTCTTTATAAATTACTTCTGGAAAATAAAGATTTATTTAATCTTGTTATCATGATTACTATATAATGTTTTGAAGTAAGTTGCAGTGAATATCTATAGTAAAACATTTATTCCATAATGATATAGCGCAAACTATTGTCATTTATAAGAAAATGGTAATAATCAATATTTCATTAATAAAAATTACATTTATAATTGATAATAATTCAAATAATTTTGATTTGCAAGTATATAATATCAAATATATATTTTAAAAATAGAGTAGATGTATCGATACTTTTAAAAATAACTTATTAAATAAAAATATCTAAATCGTAGTAAAGATTCCTTACATAAAACTGGATCAAAATTAATAAATCTAAGAAATGACAGTTCTTTTTAAATTTGTTTTAATCTAGTGATAAAAATCGGAAAAATAACTATAACTCGATAGTGGTAGGATTGTATCGTTTGACGACATAACGTTATATGAGATTATGAGATTGTCTTTCTTTATTAATTCTGATTGATTGTGATTAAGTGGGAATATTTATTTTCCAGTACATTTTTTTTTGAAGTATTGTAAAAGATGTCAATTGAAATTGAATCTGCAGAGTAATTATTATATTATTAATTATGTATAATAAAATTTGAATATTTGTGTTTTTAATACTTATATGTTATTGTTTGATTTTAGCGTAATTCGTTTGATACAACAGTATCTTAAAGAATCAAATCTTGTCAAAACATTACAAACATTACAGGTATCTATTTATCGTTGTTATACAATATACTCTTTAGCAAATGGATCATATCAACGAATTTTGTTAATAAACGTACACAATAAAAGTAAAATTGTTTGTTTATAGGAAGAAACAGGTGTATCATTGAATACAGTGGATAGTGTAGATGGTTTTGTAGCAGATATAAATAATGGGCATTGGGATACAGTATTAAAAGCTATACAGTCACTAAAATTGCCAGATAAGAAACTTATTGACTTATACGAACAGGTAAAAAGATTTTTTAAGCAAAAAGATTTTTTGTGTTATTTTTAATAAATATCAACTTTATATTTATGATAATACTCCATAGGTTGTCTTAGAATTAATTGAATTAAGAGAATTAGGAGCAGCTCGATCATTATTGAGGCAAACAGATCCCATGATTATGATGAAACAACAAGAACCTGAAAGATATATACATCTAGGTATATTAAATATATTTAACAGAAATTAGATATTATATTTACATACAATTTTATTTTGCTTATATATTTTTTTAATATCATATCTATTTTTTGGGCACAGAAAATTTACTTGCACGTTCATATTTCGATCCACGTGAAGCATATCCTGATGGAAGTACAAAAGAGAAACGAAGAGCTTACATAGCTACAGCTCTTGCTGGTGAAGTATCAGTTGTACCATCAAGTAGATTACTTGCATTATTGGGACAAGCATTAAAGTGGCAACAACATCAAGGTTTACTTCCACCTGGTACTACGATTGATTTGTTTAGAGGAAAAGCAGCAGTGAGAGATCAAGAAGATGAGAAGTACCCTACTCAACTTTCAAAACAGATTAAGTTTGGTCAAAAATCTCACGTAGAATGTGCACGTTTTTCACCAGATGGTCAGTATTTAGTTACTGGTTCTGTTGATGGATTTATTGAAGTATGGAATTTCACAACTGGTAAAATCAGGAAAGATTTAAAATATCAAGCTCAAGACAATTTTATGATGATGGAGCAAGCTGTATTATCAATGGCTTTTAGTCGTGATAGTGAAATGTTAGCTGGTGGTGGACAGGATGGTAAAATAAAAGTGTGGAGAGTTCAAAGTGGACAATGTTTAAGAAGATTTGAAAAAGCACATTCAAAAGGTGTTACATGCCTTCAGTTCAGTAGAGATAACAGCCAAATTTTATCTGCATCATTTGATACTACTATAAGGTATATAAAAGCAATAATTATAGAAAAATTCATTAAAAAAAACATTATAATATATAAAAAACATTATAATTAGTATAATACTTTAATATAGGATACATGGACTTAAATCTGGAAAAACTTTAAAAGAATTTCGAGGGCATGCTTCCTTTGTAAATGAAGTAGTTTTTGCCCCAGATGGACATAACGTAATAAGGTATAATACCTATTTTATTAGTTCTTAATTACTTTTATTTTGTACAGCAGTTATTAAATATTTTTATTTATATTGATCAGTGCATCATCAGATGGAACTGTAAAAGTTTGGAGTTTAAAAACAACAGAATGTATAGGTACATATAAGTCCCTAGGAGCTGCAGATTTAACTGTTAATAGCATACATGTCCTTCCACGAAATCCAGAACATTTCGTCGTGTGTAATCGTTCAAATACAGTTGTAATTATGAATATGCAAGGGCAAATAGTAAGATCATTTTCCAGTGGAAAACGAGAAGGAGGTGACTTCGTATGTACTGTTGTAAGTCCACGTGGCGAATTTATTTACTGTGTTGGTGAAGATCTTGTTCTTTATTGTTTTTCTACATCATCAGGAAAACTTGAAAGAACACTTAATGTAAGTATTTTTATTCTTAAACTAATAATTTATTTTTTATTGTATTTTTTATTATTTCCACATTTCAGATACATGAGAAAGATGTTATAGGTTTAACGCATCATCCGCATCAGAATCTTTTATGTTCATATAGCGAAGATGGTCTTTTAAAATTATGGAAACCGTAAGAATGTATATAAATTAAAACATCTTTTTCTAATTCTAATAGCGTTTCATTTTATGATATATTTCCTGTGCATTCTTAATTTTATGAAATATGGAAAATATAAAATAGGTATATTCATTCTTCTAAGACCAGCTTTAATGTGTAAATTTTATATTATGTTGCAATAAAAGCACATTATGTACATACAATAATCTGTTTTTTATTATTTCTAGCTGTTCCTAGTGAAATACTAAACATTAGTTTATTTAGTATCAGAGAGGAAGCTAATACGTATCTGTCCACTTGGTGTGTGTCAAGTCATGTTTGAAAAGAATTTTTGGTATTTTTTACATTGTCAATTAATTGAATAATAAGTATATTTTTATTATATAAATAAATAATATATATATATACATTTTTGATATTTCACTAAATATTTGTATGTAATTTAATAATTTCAGTATTTGGAAATGTAGCTAAAAGTGTTTTCACTTAGCAAAGCGATTGCAGCGCTCTATGGCTAGCGGTCGATTGTGAAGCACACTTTACGACATTAAGAGCTTTACTTCCCCTACGGGAGTTGCTAGAGCTGTGTATACGACCGTGGTCAGTCAGAGTCAGAGTACTGTCTTCCGTGGTTTTCCAACGAAAATCCATGGTTCAGTGATCAGTTGTATGTTGCATCCTTATTCCCTCGTTCTCTTTTTCGCGTCCGACTAAATAGTCGAGATTATTTTCAACGAATCTGTTTTATCAAATCGTCAAGACGAAGCTTAAAATGCCATTGGTAAGTGCGTCCACCTTTTGTCTCGGTTTTTCTTACTTTCTTTTACTATTGGTCTGTATGGTACGATGTTTCTTTCGTCACTTTCTTTCATGTTCCATTTGCTTTGAATATCGAACACCGTACGATATCGTTTTTAATCGATTGTCGATAGACTTCAGATTTATTACGAATGATTTTCGATAAAGTGGTTTGGGTGCGGTTTTGTGGTTAGACAAACGAAAATGTGTTCGACATGCGAACCAGAAGTAAAGGTGAGAAGAGTGATAAAAGAAGAAATTTTGAGTTTTAAATTGATTTTGTGGAAGAGTTTGGTAAAATGTTTATTGGGTTTATTTTTTGTAGGGCAATCACGCTGCCCTTACACCCCTGGAGGATATGTCAGCTGGTCGAGGGCAAGCAGGTGGGGGGCCTCCTCCGAATTGTCAGAAAGTTTTTATACAACGTGACTACAGTGAAGGCACTATGGTTAAGTTCCAAACACAGTTTCCCACAGAATTAGAAAGCAGAGTATGTATTTAAAAAAATTTATTTATGTGTTTTATTCATAAAATGTCGACCATTTGAGTTATCTTTTTGGTTATCTCTGTTTAATTTTTAAGTTGTGTAATTGTCTGTTTAATTATTAAATTATATATTTTAAAAATTGTTACTTCTATATAAGATTTATTTCATCAATAATGTATATGTTTTTTTAATAATTTCTTGTGCTTTTTATTTTCAAATCTTTTATATAAATCTACTATAGGATCAGCAGTTGCAGAAACATAATAATATCCTTCGTTTTAATTTAATTTTTGAAGAGTGAATTTAGTGAATTCATAGGCAGTAACAAACCAATTTATTTCACATTTATGGAATATGTTTTTGCTATCTTATTTTTCAATTTAGCTGGACAGACAGTCGTTCGAGTATACAATCAATCAGTTGAACAACTACTTCGCAGAAGCTGAACGAGCCAGTTGTTCCACATACTGCGAAGGCTGCCTGGCTTGCCTCACTGGTTATCTAATTTATATATGCACAGAGACTCATTACGAAAAGTGTTTACGAAAAGTGGCAAAGTTTGTTAGTGAACAAAATGACAGAGTCTATAAGCCACGTGGTTTGTTACTAACGGATCCTGTAATGCGTGGTCTTAGGCTAATAGAAATTTCAGTATTGGACAGGCCTGCATCGTGACTGCACATTAGCCGATCCAGGGAGTTCTTTATGTGATCCGAGCACTTCTGCCACTTTGTTGGGATTGCAAAACTTA